GCCCTGTCTCTGGGCTAACCACGTTAGTTTTCTATATGTGCACTGGAATCTAAACTCGAGTTTTCATGCAAGTGAAGCAAGTGTCACTGTGCTACCACCCTAGATTCTTGTTCCACCTCCTCAAGGAAAAAGCAGTTGCTTGGTAGCTCCACCTGTTCTTCGGGAGAACAGATACCTCTGTGTCCAGAACTGCAATTACAGAGTTCATATATAAATGTGATTGGTTCTTTGTGCATTTCCTCTCCTGTCTTTTTTGAGTAAGTTCATTTTTCATGGTCATTCGTTATCTTGGCCGTTTATGCAGAAATGGAAACTATGTACCTCTCAGAGGCTTCTGAAACTATGGAGTCAAAGTGTGTAAAAGCCTCTTTAAGGCTGGAGAGATGACTCAGCGTTTAAGAGCCTGTTCAGCTCTTGCAGAGGACCTGAGCTAGGTTCCCAGCATGAATGGTGGCCAGCTCACAACTGCCTGTAACTTCAGCTCCAGGGGCTCTGAAACCCTCTTCTGTACCTCCACAGGTACCTGCACTCTTGTGCAAATATCCACACACAGATGCACATGCAACACATTTTAAAATGGACCTTAATAAAATCTTAAGTAGTACCCAGGTGTGGTGATGCACACCTTTAATCTCAGCATTGGGAAGCAGAAGCAGGCGAATCTCTTCTCAGTTCAAAACCAGCCTGGTCTGCATACTGAGTTCTAGGCCAACTGTGGCTACATAGTAAAAAAAAAAAAAAAAATCAAAAGAAAATCCAAGAAGCAAAAAAGTTGGCTTAGAACTTCCAAGAGACAAGCACTTTAAAATTCATCAAGATGTGGATAGGTCACCTTAAGTTGTTCCATCGTGTTTTCAATGTTTGGGTTATTAATGTGGATTCAACTTTTTATTTTTATTTTATTTATTTATTGGGTTTTTTTTTTTTTTTTGAGACAAGGTTTCTCTGTGTAGCTCTGGCTGTCCTGGAACTCACAGAGACCCACCTGCCTCTGCCTCTTGAAGACTGGGATTAAAGGCATGTACCACCACCATCCAGCTTCAATGCTTTATTTTTAATTTTCAAAATACTTATTCACTTTTATGTTAAGTGCACAACATCCTTGCAGGTGCTCATGTAAGTCTGAAAGGTTGTCAGATTTAATTGAGTTATAATGAATACAGGAGGCTGTGAGCTGCCCACCCCATCCTGGAAATTGAACCCAGGTCATCAGTTTATGCTCTTAACCACTGAGACATCTCTCTAGCCTCTATTTGACTGTTTGAATGAGAATGCCCCCCCCCTCCCGCTCAAATGTTTGAATATTTAATCCTCAGTTGGTGGAACTGTTTAGAATGGATTAGGAGAGGTGACCTTGTTCGAAGATGTGTGTCACTAGTGGGTCATGCTTTGAGGTTTCAAAAGACTTATCTCTCTGCCTCCTACTTGTGGATCAAGATATGAGCTCTGCTGCTCCTGACGCCATGCCTCTACTCTATCACCATGGACCCTCACTCTCTGAAACCATAGACTCAATTAAGTTATGTTGTAAGTTGCCTCTGTCAGCAAGACAAAAGTAACTAATACACCCTATTTTAATATTTTATTTTTCTATGTATATGTGTTTGTGTGTATGCATGTTCATGTGTATGTTCAAAACATGTGTTCACAAATGCATGTGTCCACATGTGTATGGAGATCATAGGACAACCTCAGCTTTCAGAGTTGTAATACATTGTTTTGGAGGCATCCCCATACTCATGAAATAGATTTTGTTCATCAATGAGACAGGACACTCATGCCAAGTAAAGGAATATGGTCACCCTGGGATTCCCCCAACAGATAGTTCATTCTCAGGTAGCTCAGACATGATTGCTTGTCCTATCATCTCCTGCAGGGAGCATGCAACTACCACTCCAGCAGTGAGACATATGATTCTCCACCGTAAGGGAAAGGTAGACATACTGGGACTCCCCCTGCAGGTGTCCCTCACACAGTTCAGCCTCGTGTTCATGTCTCAGCACCCATTGCAGTGACTGTGCACGTATTCCTCCCCATCTTCGGTTCTGTCAGCCCCCTGTTTGCAGTGTGACACTATTCCTACAGAGAAGGGAAGAATGACAGATGAATGTAAACACTAGAGTTCAACTCGGTGAATCAATGACTTTACTGGAGTTGCTCACAGGAGTACAGCTTAGTGGTTGCTTAAAGGGGCCAGAATGACTCAAAGGTTGGTGCATCATTGAAAGCCCACCCCAGAATGGGTGAGGACTCCACGCTGCAAACCTGGAGTTTTTCGAATGACTTGCAAGCAATTTGTCTGCTTATACAGCCTTGGGGAGGAATGATCCTTGTACACTTGCTAAGTTTCAGGGACTTCCTCAGACTTTAAATCGTTATTTCCTGACTCATAACGGGCCTCTCTTTAGAGTCAGGCAGTAAGAGGGCTCAGCAGACAAGGGCGTTCGCTGCCAAGCCCCAGCACTGGGGGTCGATCCCCTGGAGCGGGGCAGAGGAAAGAGGAGAGAAGAGAAGGCTAGCATTTAGAACTTCCTTAGTCCAGCTGATTCAGTTGTGTTGTTTCAACTAAGGGAAACTTGCTGTGCAACATCAGGCGACACAGCCAGGGTTTTCCATTTTGTTTGCGTGTTTTACCTCACTGGGGATCAGACCCAGGGTTTCAAGAATGCTAGGCAACCACTCTTTTTATTACTCTTTTGTTGTTGTTGTTGTTGTTGTTTGTTTTTTCGAGACAGGGTTTCTCTGTGTAGCTTTGCGCCTTTCCTGGAACTCTCTCTGTATACCAGGCTGGCCTTGAACTCACAGAGATCCGCCTGCCTCTGCCTCCCGAGTGCTGGGATTAAAGGTGTGCACCACCACTGCCCGGCCTTTATTACTCTTTTAAGTTTACAGAAAGTCTCATTAAGTTCCCAAGATGACTTTGAGTCTGTCATCTTTCCACTTCAGCTTCAATTGTACATGGGATGACAGGCCTGGCACACAAAGCAAAGTAACCCTGGAAAAGAATAAGGATAATCCGTGTTGTAAAGCGGGCAGAAACAAACATGTCTTTTTTTAATTTTAAGACAGGGTCTCACGATGTAATCCTGGCTGGTTTGAACCGGCTATACAGACCAAGATGTTTTCTGACTAACAGATATCCTACTTCTGACTCCTGAATGATGGAACTAAAGGCCTGTGCCACCATGGTCTGCTCAAATATTTTAATTTTAATAGTTTATTAAATATTGTGATCTGATTACAAAGTCTTATGGTGTTTATTTCTCATTTTTGGAGGGGATTATTTGTTTAGCTGATTGGTTGTTTTGTTGTTGTTGTTTTGTTTTGTTTTGAGACAAGGTTTCTCTGTGTAGCTCTGGCTGTCCTAGAATTTGCTCTGTAGACCAGGCTGGATTTGAACTCATAGAGATCTGCCTCTTTGCCTCCCAGGGGCTGGGATTAAGTTCGTGTGCCATCCAACCCGTTATTTCTCCTTTTATAAAGTTTCATATTTGTATTCCATAAGAATACCCTACAAGGGACTAGAGCAATGGTCTGTGGTTAAGAGCACTTTGCAGATGACCCAGGTTTGGTTCCTAGTGCACATATCGTGACTAACACCTTTATGTAGTTTCAATTCCAAAAAATCTGACTCCCCCTTCTGGCCTCTGTAGGCACTGCATGATCTGATGGACAGATACACATAAAAAGAATATGCAAATATATAATCTACAAAATTTAATTATGCAATAAAGAACTGAAAAAGCTCATAGGACTCTCTATGTAGTGGCCCACACCTGTAATAGGGAAGTCGAGGCAAGAGGACCAGGATTTCAAGGCCAGTTTCTACTACATAGAGAGTTTGAGGCAAGCTTGGGCCCCATGAGACCTTGTCTCAAAAACAAAACACAAACCCTGACTGGAAGTGTTCAAATAAAATGTTGTAGCACAGTGACATGGCTCAGGGTTTACAAGGTACTTGCCACCAATCCTGATGACCCATCTAGTGGAAGGAGAGAGCCAATTCCAGTGAGCTATTCTTGGATGTTCACATGTGTGACACACACATAAATAGAATGTAATATATTTTTAAAGATATTTCCTCACACATACTAATTATTACACAATTAGCAATATTAGAAAATCCTATTATGGGTGCAAGAGAAAGAGCTCAGTGATTAAGAATGCTTATTGCTCTTTCAGAAGACCAGAGTTGGATTCCAAACACCCAAGTGGGGCAACTCACAACTAACTCTAATGCCAACTCCAGGTTTCAGATAGGGCCCCTGTGGAAGCTGTACACAGGTGACATACACGCACACACATACACAAATACATAATTATAATTTTTTCTAAATCTTCAAAAATCCTATTATGGTTGTGTTCAAGTAATAGCATTTGTACAGAATAGTTGAGGAACAGTAAAAATACATTTCATACAAATATCAAATTTTCCATTTTTTTTTTTTTTTTTTAAAGATTTATTTATTTATTATGTATACGGAAGAGGGCGCCAGGTCTCATTACAGATGGTTGTGAGCCACCATGTGGGTGCTGGGAATTGAACTCAGGACCTCTGGAAGAGCAGTCAGTGCTCTTAACCTCTGAGCCGTCTCTCCAGCCGTTTTTGTTTTCAAGACAGGGTTTTTCTGTGTAGCTTTGGAGCCTGTCCTGGAACTCACTCTGTAGCCCAGGCTGGCCTCGAACTCACAGAGATCCGCCTGCCTCTGCCTCCCAGTGCTGGGATTAAAGGCGTGCGCCACCACCGCCCAGCCCTTGTCTTATGTTAACGTGGCTGTTCTGTGTAATTACTACAGTGTGGCCTGCATGGAGAAGCCGCTCCAACCGCTACCTTTTGAAAGCCCCGCCCTTCCGCCAGGCCCCGCCCTCAAAGGGCGGCACCTCCCAAAGCCCTTGTTTTGGGATTGGCTTTTCTCCTTCTCGTGCAGAGGCTCCGCCCACGTGACTGACAGGTGCCCGAGCGAGACGTGTCCGGCTCTTCCGGTCCCGGTAGTCGTCTTTTCCGGTCTTAGTCCGGCGTGGCACCCCTTAGCAAGCTGGTTTGGACTTTGGATTCCTTCTTTGTTATGGCAACGCCCTTACTCTCCTTCCAGCCAGTCTGTCATGGCAGCGCCCTTCCTGACCCTTGTAGCTCTTTCCGTAGGCGCCTCCTAGTCCTAAAGCCATTCATGGTGGCTCTCAGGCCTCACCGGAAGTAACTTACAGGAAGTGAGGCGGTGCTTCTGCCGGAAGCTATCGCAGCGCTGGGAAAGATGGCGGCGGTGGGCAACGCGGTTCCTTGCGAGGCCCGGCCTGGCGGGGCCCGGGGCAACGGGCCTGCTCAACCTGGGCCGCGATCGCGGCCGGCGCTGGCCGCTGGACCAGCGCTCATAGCGAATGGCGACGAACTGGTGGCCGCCGTGTGGCCATACCGGCGGCTGGCCCTCCTGCGGCGCCTCACCGTGCTGCCGTTCGCGGGGCTGCTGTACCCAGCTTGGCTGGGCGCCGCCGCCAGCGGTTGCTGGGGCTGGGGCAGCAGCTGGACCCAAATCCCCGAGGCCGCTCTGCTAGCGCTCGCCACCATCTGCCTCGCGCACGCACTCACTGTCCTGTCTGGGCATTGGTCTGTGCACGCGCACTGCGCGCTCACCTGCACCCCGGTAAGTGCGCGCGCACGATCCCAACCCAGACCCAGGCCCGATGTGGCCTAGCAGGGGTCCCCAGTCCGGTCTGCAGTCTTTTCAATTGCAAGGCCCGAGTCTCCAGAGGCGCCTTCTCCCCTGTGGCTTAGGCCTGATTCTGACCCCCATACGACTCTGCTGTGGTCATTTTGATTCACGAGAAACACGTAACAGACTTAGCGCGGAACCCATATGTTACTGTTTGTGTGGATTGTTATCTTAGCTCCCATATGACGTGCTGTTCTTGGAACGGTCCTACCTTCCTTCTCCATCGTCTCCTACCTTGGTTTTTTCTGTTTTTTATAAGACAGGGTTTCATTATGAAGCCCTGGCTCGTCTGGTACTCATAGAGATCTGCCTACCTCTGTCTCTAGCGTGCTGGGATTAAAAGCCTGTGCTACCATTTCTGGTTCCAATTTTTTTTTTTTTCCTCCCCGAAGTGTGAGGCTAGACCGGTGGGATGATTCCCCTAAGCTATGTTCAGCCTCTGTCCCTTGCTAGACCCAAAGGAGCATGTAGTTCATCCTGGTGCTTAAGATGAGCAGGAGCTAGTTGTAAGTGAAGTAACTAAGAGCTTAGAGTCTCATGGTGTCTGTCTATAAAATAAGGGTGGTTAATAAGATGAGGGCTTGTCAGGTATGCAGCAAGACTGCAGGGGTCCAAGTTCAGAATTTTAAATATAGAGCCACTACAGGAAGCAGAGACCCCAAGGTGCTCTAGGTTGGCAGGTAGCACCCAGTGACCACACTACAGATCACACTAAATTTGAAGCCTGTGGCACTGATAACTGCCCAAGCCAGCATCCTTCCTAATCCCAGTGCTGGTCCCCAGGAAAGGGAGGAAGTGTCAAGGACTGCAGGAAAAACCAGAATACCCTTATTTACCTTCTCTGGCTCTGTGTGCATTGACTCCTCAGTCCCAAGACAGTGCACCCTGTTGCCTCCTTCATTAATATTTGTCCTGCAGAGGGGCCTGAATTTCTGAGCTTGGCACCAAGGGCTGGGGGTGAGTCATAGGGGGTGAGTGTGGGATATTCAATCCCTAGCAGTCTAGCTGCCTTTTGGACTGTGGCTAAACATTTGTAGCTGACAACTTCCTCTCCCAGGATGGAGAAGTGAGTGGGAGGAGCTAAGCAGCCTTGGGGTGAGGAGAGAGATCAGGGTTTGCTTCTCTCTGGGTTTCAGTTTCACCCTGCTGTAAAGTGAAAGCTGAAGCGCCTCCCTCCAGGGTCACCGAGGGAGGCTAAGACAAACACCCTACATAGTACCGTGTGCTTGCCTTCTGTGTTATTTAAGCTCATCATTGTGTGTTTGTTCCTGTTTTCTCTATGGTTCCAGGGCCATGCAGTCCCTTGGGAGTGGCATTCCTTCAGGGTTACCACTGTGTGTCCCTCCTCAACCTCTAGTATTGCAAGGTGTAGCGAAACAGCTTATGGGGGAGTGTTTCTTGTGTCAGCAAAGTAGCATGGACAGAACTCACTGGAAGAAGGTGGACTCATTCGTTATTTCAGAAGACAGAACACTAAGAGAGTCCCAGGGAACTTTACATGGGGCCACCTAGGGAGGGCTCCACAGTAGGTGACAAAGGCCTGGACAATCAGGAGAGCTAGGGTCTCTGTGTGTGTGCTTCCTGCAGAGACAATGGTGTAGAGGAAGGAGGCAGGACCAGTCTCTTGACATCACCATGCAGTGTAGTCATCCACATAATTGAGGTTCCTCTAGGGAACCTCACAATTAAGTTACCAATAAAAAAATCCCATAGTGTTCTAAGTAGGCTTATGGTTTGTGTTCCATTCATAGCTGTCTTTGGTTGCATGTGCCCACAGGCTGTAGGTAGGACATGCTTGGATATCAAGACTCTTAGCTCAGACACAGGCAAGCCTGAGTGTCTAGTGTACTAGGGAGCAGTTAGCAAGCCAGAGAGAGCCAGTGTGGCAGCAAGTGGGCTGTGGCAAGACTTGAGTCATATGAATGGAGAGCAAATTAAATGTTCTATATGGATTTGAGTTCGTGTTCAGAATCCTGGATTACGAGCATGCTTGTGACCTCAGCTTTCTACTACAGGACCAGTGATCAAGTAGAGTATGATCAAGCCAGCACTAGAGCTAAGGACATATTCATAACGTTATGTGGCACCCACACTCATCTGTCCATGTGAGGGCATCACTTTGGGTTGAGAAGGGCTCAATAACAATCTTTGGCTTTTGACAGGAGTATGACCCAAGCAGAGCGACCTTTGTGAAGGTGGTGCCAACCCCCAACAATGGCTCCACTGAGCTGGTAGCCCTGCACCGTGACAAGGTGGGTAGGGATGTCCTGCAGGGTGACTGGAATAGGCATTTGTGAAGTATTCCTGAGCACTGATGTCCTCCCCACGCCCAACCCAGGGTGAAGATGGGCTGGAGGTGCTATCATTTGAATTCCAGAAGATCAAATATTCCTATGATGCCCTGGAGAAAAAGCAGTTCCTCCCGGTGGCCTTCCCAGTGGGGAATGCCTTCTCCTATTATCAGAACAACAGAGGCTTCCAGGAAGACTCGGAGATCCGAGCTGCGGAGAAGAAGTTTGGGAGCAACAAGTGAGTCCTTGTCTTCCCCAGGGGCCCCTGTGCACTGCTGCCCTGCTCTGCTCCTGGTCAGGGAACCCTGGCAATAGGGCAGAGGCTCTGCTTTTAAGCCAAAAATGCTAGGTAACAGTGGCCCGGTTTGAGAAAGCTGATCTGCTCTAGTTTCCTCTGAACTTGTCTGCCAACAGCGCCCTTAGAGGGCCAGGAGCCTCTGCTTTGTGGTGTAAGACCTTGGTTGGGAGGGTTGCCCTGTCCTGAGGGACCATTCTCCATTTGTTTTGTGACTCTTGTAATTCTTCTCTGGATTTGTGTGGTAGTGGGTGGGTATGCATGTGCGTGCAAATATATGTGGAGGCTAGAGGTCAGCTTCAGGTGCCATCCCAGCAACCATCCACCTTTTTTTTTTTTTAAGACAGAGTCTCTCTGAATTGGAGCTCACTAAATAGGCTTACTAAGTAGCAACACCAGCAATCCTCCTGTTTCTACCTTCCCAGTGTTCCCAAGTTCATGCCACTACACTTGGTTTTTTTACATGGAGTCTGGGACTTGAACTTAGGTCCTCGTGCTTATAAGGCAAGCATTTTATCAAATAAGCCATCTCCTTGGTCTGCCCGCCCTAACAAACATGGAATTAGATTTTTTTTTTCTGGACAGGATTTCTCTGTATAGCTGTTGGCTGTCCTGAAACTCACTCTGTAGGGATTAAAGTGGTATGCACCACTGCACAGCATGAAATTAGATTCCATCTTGAAATTTCTGTTCAGCTATTTGTGTTCATATGCATCTCCACACACTGGAAATGGTGATGACGCACCCTCAGTGGGGTTGGAGTACGACTCAGTGGTACTGCTGCCTGTGTCACTAATTTGATATTCTTATCTTGCCCTGGGGTGGATGGCATTGGGAAGAGCCTGTCACAGGGTTCAGCAGAGCAAGGGGCTCAGTGGGTGAGGACAGCACATTGTCAGCCAACCTGCGCTGGACTGCCGAGCAAGCCAGGAGGAGCATGAGTGCAGCCTCCCACCTTGGGTAGCCTGTGTCTTTGGAAACCCACAGAGGTTCCAAGTTGGAGGTGGCAGGGCCAGGGTCTCCTCTTCTTCAGCTCATCCAGGAATTTGATGGGTATGATCTCTTACAGGGCCGAGATGGTGGTGCCTGACTTCTCCGAACTTTTCAAGGAGAGAGCCACAGCCCCTTTCTTCGTGTTTCAGGTAACAACAACTCTGGCCCTTGCACCAGCTCCTTCTTTGGGGCTGTTGCAGCCGGAGTAAGCCTAGCTGCCATTGCAAACCCCAGAGCCTCTCCCTGCCCTCAAGGATCATTGGTGTTTGCTGGGGTTTCTGGGTACAGGACAGGTGGGCAAGGCCTGACAGCCTGCTGACTCACAGGTGTTCTGCGTCGGGCTCTGGTGCCTGGATGAGTATTGGTACTACAGTGTCTTCACTCTGTCCATGCTGGTGGCTTTCGAGGCTTCCCTAGTGCAGCAGCAGATGAGGAACATGTCAGAGATCCGCAAGATGGGCAACAAGCCCCACATGATACAGGTGTGGCTGATGGGACAGGTGGATGGTAACCCTGCCCAGCCCCGGGTGAGCACCGTGCATATTCTATGTGACATACTTCCCTACTCATACTTCCAGGTCTACCGCAACCGAAAATGGAGGCCCGTCGCCAGTGATGAGATTGTTCCTGGGGACATCGTGTCCATCGGTGAGACAGGATTTCTCTCCCCCAGACAGAAACCCTTACCTTAGTCTGTGGCTGATCCTCCTGCCTGCGTGTTGCAGGCCGATCCCCCCAGGAGAACCTGGTGCCATGCGATGTGCTGCTGCTTCGGGGCCGCTGCATCGTGGACGAGGCGATGCTCACAGGGGAATCGGTGCCACAGATGAAGGTGATGGGTGGAATCTACAGTGCGCTAGCCAGTTCATGAAGACAGACATAGGGCAGGCGAGGCCAGTGGGCTGGAGTCATCTCCATAGGTGTGGGTGGGCCAGCTGGAGAGAACCAGCACATCCAGTCAGGATGGGAGTCTCTGTACCATTGAGGAGGTCTAATGCAGATCACCGGGCGTTATTAGCTCCACAAGTCCTGTGGTGAGAACGCAACAGCCAAGGAGCCCAGGTGGATAGGATTTGCTGATCTAGGCAGGGGGCACTCACGGGAGTCAGACAACTCCCTGGGGGCCAGCCCTCCAGAGATGCAGCCTACTAATGCCTCAGCCCTGGAAAGCTGAAGCGAGGCAATCATCCAGTTCTGACGTTTTCTTTCTCAGGAGCCCATTGAAGACCTGAACCCAGACCGTGTCCTAGACCTACAAGCCGATGCCCGGCTACATGTCATCTTTGGGGGCACCAAGGTGGTACAGCACATCCCCCCACAGAAGGCGACCTCTGGCCTGAAGTGTAGGTGCCTTGAGGGTGTCCTGGGTGTCCTGCATCTGTAGCATGTAGATGAGACAGGTGTTAATGACACACGCCTCTACTTGTCTCCTCAGCGGTTGACAATGGATGTGTGGCCTACGTCCTGAGGACTGGATTCAACACTTCCCAGGTATGGGAGGGCCCAAAGTGTGTGATGGATCCTTCTAGAACATTCACCCTAAGGCTAGTGCAGGCCTTACCATCATAGTGCTGCCTGCTTTCCCTGGCCTGAGATAACTGGGTGTGCCCACGGCAGTCTGGTGTACCATCCTAGGAAGGGGGTGTTAAGTGAGGTGCTCTGGGAAATGCTTCAGGGCTCTGCCTGGAGGGTGATGAAAGCCTGGCTTCTCCTTTGCACTTGCTGCCCCTCCCGTGGCCCTGTGGTGGGCGTTGCTGTTTCCTAGAAAGAGAAGCCAGCCTCAGTGCTCTCGGGGAGGGGAGGCAACTGTCCCCCTCCTAGGAAAGACTGTTCCCCCACCCCATCCCTGCAGGGCAAGCTGCTGCGTACAATTCTCTTTGGGGTGAAGCGGGTGACTGCGAACAACCTGGAGACCTTCATCTTCATCCTCTTCCTCCTGGTGTTTGCCGTTGCTGCCGCTGCGTATGTGTGGATTGAAGGTAAGCACCCCGACAGCTCCTGCTCCACAGCCCCGCCCCTGCCCCAGGCTTCCAGGCCCTGTTTCCACAGGGACCAAGGACCCCAGCCGGAACCGCTACAAGCTCTTCCTCGAGTGTACCCTCATCCTCACCTCGGTTGTACCCCCTGAACTGCCCATTGAGCTGTCCCTGGCTGTCAACACCTCCCTCATAGCCCTGGCCAAGCTCTGTGAGTACTGAGTGATTGGTGGGGCGTGGCACAGCAGGCGGGAGCCTGGAGGGATCCCCTGACTCCAGACCCCATACCCCACCCCCAGACATGTACTGCACAGAGCCTTTCCGGATCCCCTTTGCTGGCAAGGTCGAAGTATGCTGCTTTGACAAGACGGGTACCTTGACCAGTGACAGCCTGGTGGTGCGTGGTGTGGCAGGGCTGAGGTGAGCATAAAGGGACTCCCCACCACCACCATCCTTCCCACCCCCAGCAAACAGAACCAAGCTTGACCTGAGCCCCTACACTGAAGCCCTGCTTATGAGGTTCCATTATGAGGGTCTTAGGTAGATATCAGGATGAGTGGTATCGGGTAGGGAGATAGATTCTGAGCAGCTGGCACAGATCTGGGGCCTCATCTGTTGTGATCTCAGGAGTCATCCTTGAGGCCAGTAGTCTCAGAAGGTGGTCCCTGGTAGAGGTGCAGCTCACCCGCCTCCTCTATCCATCTTGTACTAACTGTACCCTTCTTTGCAGAGATGGGAAGGAGGTGACCCCAGTGTCCAGCATTCCCATAGAGACACACCGCGCCCTGGCTTCCTGCCACTCACTCATGCAGCTGGAAGACGGCACCCTAGTGGGTGACCCCCTAGAGAAGGCCATGCTGACAGCTGTGGACTGGACACTGACCAAAGGTGAGGGACTGGAATTCAAGGCCTGGCATGGGTGGCCTCTCTGTCCTGGGCAGGCTCGCCCATGATGGCGACATTCTTCCAGGCTAGTGCCAGGCTGGCCTCACATCGGTATCTTTTTGGGTCAGTGTCTAGTCTTCCATGACTGATCCACTTGCCTGCTGTGACCAGCAGGATTCTGGGGATGCTGGGGTGGGGAAACTGGGGCAGAGTGTGTGGGGCTTGGCTACCTCTCCGGAGCGAAGCCCCTCAGGACTCGTACTTATTTGTTTCCAGATGAGAAAGTATTCCCCCGAAGTATTAAAACTCAGGGGCTGAAAATTCACCAGCGCTTTCATTTTGCCAGTGCCCTAAAGCGAATGTCCGTGCTCGCCTCCTACGAGAAGCTCGGCTCCACTGACCTCTGCTACATCGCGGCTGTGAAGGGGGCCCCTGAAACCCTGCACTCCATGGTGAGCCAGCCCCAACCCTGGGTTAAGGGGCAGCCAGGGATCAGGCAGTGACATCCCCCTGTGTTCCATGCAGTTTTCCCAGTGCCCAGCTGACTACCACCACATCCACACTGAGATCTCTCGGGAAGGAGCCCGAGTCCTGGCTCTGGGGTACAAGGAGCTAGGGCATCTCACGCATCAGCAGGTGAGGGTCTGCCATGCTCAACAACCCTTCTCCCCTGCCACATGAGTGGGAATGAGCGCAATTTCATGTTTCCTTCTCTGCTCTGGGATGTCCTGGGCACTTCCTCAGATTCCACCATTCTTGTCCCTGTCAGCTGGTGATCAGAAGGCCATAGTGGATCCATGCCCCTCCCTCTGCTTCCCTTCCTCTGTCCCTGCCCTTCTTCGCAGCCTCTGACAGTGCAGCTGCCCTTGGACCTACTTCTTGGTCCCGGTCCAGGCTGCTTACCTGCGACAGCCAAACATCCCTCTAGACCTTACTGTCAGCCTACAGCCCTGAGATGCAGACCCACTCCAGCCAGGACGCAAAGCCTCTGTCCTCCTGCATTGTGCCTGTCCCCTGGTCCTGTCCACCCTGACCCCACCTTCACTCTTATTCTACCGTGTCTTCTGTGATCTTCATCACCTGCCTTCCCTGGTACTTTGTGGGTACCCTGAGGGTGGTGGCCCTGTGCAGTCCCACTTTTGAATTGAGCCACAGAGGGCTCTGTGATGTGTCCATGTCTACAGTCACAAGGTATAGGCACAGCTGGGTCTAGACCTCCCGCATCATTAGCTGGACCCCACTTGGCACCTACCCTTCCTCTCCCCTCTTAACGCTGACATTTCTCTTCTTAGGGGACTGGGCCTCTTCTCTGCCAGCACCATCACACACATGCACAGTGGCTCTACCTCCTGAGGCACTTGTAACCTGCTTTCCTGACTGGGTTCCTCTCTCAGGGAGGTTTGAAGAGGCTGGTGGGAAGGACAGACGATGAAGGTATCCTGCATCTGTCCACAGGCCCGGGAGGTCAAGCGGGAGGCACTGGAGTGCAGCCTCAAGTTCGTGGGCTTCATTGTGGTCTCCTGTCCACTCAAGGCTGACTCAAAGGCTGTGATCCGAGAGATCCAGAACGCATCCCACAGGGTATGAGCAAAGTGAGAAGTGGGAGTGGGAGCAGGGGGCTGGCAGCAGAGAGCCGTGACAGCTCCAGTTCTCAGTAGTGAGAGACCACGGGTTTTAAGCTGGGTGTGGATATGGCTGGCACTTCAGGACTGGGTAGAGGATCCTCTGTTACACAGCCTCCTCAGACTTTCTGTGACTATGAGAAGGAAGCAGAAGTTGGAGGTAAGGGATCTGGAGGCCATGTCTGTCCTGGTGAACAGTCTCAGAGAGGCACATAAGACAACTGGTCCCCATTGAGCCCTCGTAGATCACAGCCTACTTATCTGCCTTTCCCATCACTAAAATGTTCTCTGTACAAGCAGGTACCAGGCCCTGAACACTTGACAGCCAAGAGCTAATTCTTAATTGGTGTTTTTAAGTAAAATCAATAAGCTGAATGTAGTGACATGCCCATTACCCTAGAGAGGCAGAAGTCAGCGTGTCAATTTGAGTTTAGGGTCAGTATGGTCTACATAGTGAGTCCAAGGTCAGCCAGGCCTTCATGGTGAGACCTTGGCCCAAAAAGCAAAAAGTAGGATCCCAAGAGTTGGCTCAGCAGTTAAGAGAACTTGGTACTCAGTCATGAGGACCAAAGTTTGGATCCTGACACCCACAAAATACCTATAACTCCAGCTGTGAGAAATCAGACATCTCTTTTGGCCTTCATATCCAAAGGCACACACACCCATTCCTATAAACACATAATAAAAAGTGAATTGCTTTAAGAAGCAATGCGTTGAGGCTGAAGTGTGCTCAGTGTGTGAGCAGCCCTGGTGCCAGCCTCGCTGATGAGCTAGCTCAGCCTCGCCGTTTGGACAGCACAGCCTGGGGTAGTAGGCTGTGCTGTCCCCTAGAGGTTGTGGCCTTTTCCCTCAGACTTTCTTAGGAGGAGCTGTGAGGCCAAGGTAAGAATTCTGCCCAACAGTTCTTCCCTGCTAAGCCTTGTCCCCTGTCCCATAGGTGGTCATGATCACAGGGGACAACCCACTCACTGCCTGCCATGTGGCTCAGGAGCTACACTTCATTGAAAAGGCCCACACGCTCATCTTGCATCCTCCCTCGGAGAAAGGTGAGGCTGGGTAGCTGGGGCCCTAGTCCAGGACCAGTGCCTTACCACTGTTTACTGCTGATCACAATTGATGCCAGCCCCACTATGAGGAGGCCCCGGAACATAGGCAGTGTGGGTGTGTGGTATAGAGCACCAATGGATTCCTGAGTCTGCCTTGCTTGTTTACAACAGGCCTCATGCACACTGCCAGACAGGTACTCACTCATCATCCTTGCCCACCTTGGGCTGGGCAGGTCACTCCTGTGCCACTGCCTATGGGTTGCTAGGTGCCCAACACTGAGGATGGTAGATCCTGGGTAAAAGGCACAGCATGTTCTTAGCACATCTGTCTGCCCTGCACTGTGGGCAGCTCTGTGCACAATGTAAGGAGGAGATAAACTGCTAAGCTGACTATTGGCATCTTACGTGAAAGCAAGGAGGCTGGGACTCAGAAGTCTACTTAGCTAAGTGTGAGGGTGCACTCCTGTCAGCCCAGCTCTTGAGGCAGGAAGATTGCTGTTAGTTCCAGGCCAACCTGGGCTACACAGTGGCTTTCAGGCCAGTTTTTGCATACATATCTTCTGAGACCAGGCTTCAGAATCTTTCCTACGTAAGCAAGTAAACCCACTCTTTTATTTTTTTGTTTTTCGAGACAGGTTTTCTCTGTGTAGCTTTGGTGCCTTTCCTGGAACTCACTTTGTAGCCCAGGCTGGCTTCAGACTCACAGAGATCCGCCTGCCTCTACCTCCCGAGTGCTGGGATTAAAGACGTGTGCCACCGCCCTGCTGTGAACCCCTTTCTTGCTCGGGTCACTTACTGTCACTTAGTGCAGGACCCGTATGAGGAGCAGTGGGTACCCAAAGCCGGATGGCAGAATGGGAGGTGGGAAGTGTACCCAGGGAGGAAGCCTTCCAGAAACTCCCACTGCTTCTCAGAGAACTCAGTCATCACTCTCAACTGTTGGCCCCACGTCTCCCTCCATTCCAGCCCTGTGTGCTATGTTCTTCTTGGACCTGAGGGTTGTGGACAGGTGCCCCTAAAAAGTGGGTCCCATGGGGCTTAGCATGGGAGGGATCCCAGCTCCAAGAGGGCTGGAGATCTGTTAGATGAGGGTCCGTGTTGTGTAACTTCTAGAGGGGGACGGTGGCTTGACTGCCAAGAGACCAGCTGCCTGGGTTTGCAGCCACTGGAACAGGACTCAGTTCCCGAGTCCTTGGTTTTCTTGCCTGTACCTGTGTGTGTTCCCTGTGAGATGCCCAGGGCAGGGTCAGGTTCTGGGGGAGGCTGTGCTCTTGGCCCTGGAGTCCCAACCCTGACGGTAGATGTGACCCACAGGCCAGCCGTGTGAGTGGCGCTCCATCGATAGCAGCATCGTGCTGCCTCTGACCCTGGGCTCCCCCAAGGCCCTGGCCCTGGAGCACGCGCTGTGCCTCACGGGTGATGGCTTGGCTCACCTGCAGGCTGTGGACCCCCAGCAGCTGCTGCGCCTCATCCCACATGTGCAAGTGTTTGCCCGTGTGGCCCCCAAGCAGAAGGTATGTGCAGGACCCTAGGGTTGGGCACTGGGGGCTTTGGGAGTGGCTACAGCCCTATTTATCTCATGTCTACCGTGCAGGAATTTGTCATCACTAGCCTGAAAGAGCTGGGCTATGTGACCCTCATGTGTGGAGATGGCACCAATGACGTGGGCGCACTGAAGCATGCTGATGTGGGTGAGCTCCAGTAGCTGGGGCTGGGTCTCCATCACCAATGTAGGGACAGCTCACCCGGCCCTGCTGCTCATAGTCAGGGGTGTTTGAGTCTTAGGAGAGGAGCTGGGGGTATGGCTGTGTGGACAGCGCTTGCCTAGAATCCTCCAATGAGAGGCCGGGGGTGTGGTGCAGTGTAGAGGTCTTCCTTATATGTACACAGCCCTGGATTTCATCCCAAACACTGAAAAAAGAAGTAATTTTAACTAATAACCTCCCTGGGCAGTGGTGCTCATCCAGGCAGAGCTCAAGAGAATCAGGGGTCCAAGTTCATTCTTGCCTATACTTAGCAAGGCTAGCCTGGTTACATGGAACCTTGTCTTTTAAAAAGAAATCTTGAGGGGGGCTAGAAGGCCAGGGAAGGGTACAGGCATGAGGAACCGAGGACAGGAAGAAAGAGGAAGTTGGGGGCATTGTATGAATCCCACAACCAGGTATGGTTACCACAGGTCACTGTCCAGGCAGTGTTGACAACCCTGGACTGCAAAGGCTGAGCTTTGGTCTTCGTTCTTTTCCATTTGACCTGCATTGTCTGCAGTTCTTACCCTCACAGACTTTTCTCTCGAGTCATTAGTTTTCAGTTGCTCACTTTAGGTTCTGATGGGATTTTTGTGCTCATTTGAGCCTGATCTTGCTGTGTTGCCTGGAACTCAGGCCCCTGCTGCTGCCTCCCGAGGGCTGGATCACAGTTGTGCCTGTGTCAGCATGGTTCTGACACCAGGAGTCGGGGTGCTCTCCATTCGACGTCTTGGGGCGTCTACTTTCTTTTTCAAATAACAACTGTTCACATTCCCTCTTTACAAAATGAAAGTGATGCTTTTTAAAAAAAAGTTGGTTCTGGCTGGGCAGTGGTGGCGCACACCTTTAATCCCAGCACTCGGGAGGCAGAGGCAGGCGGATCTCTGAGTTCAAGGACAGCCTGGTCTACAAATAGAGTCCCCGGGCAGCCAGTACTACACAGAGAAACCCTGTCAGGAAAAAAAAGAAAACTGGTTCTGGGACTGAACTTGGGGACTTGAGCATGGCTAGGCAGGTATTCTACCACGGACCTACATCCCCAGTCTTGCTTTCATCTTTTCATCCAGTGTTTTAAGTACAGTTATTAGTATTGTGTGATGTGTGTTCATGCTGGCGGAGGTGCATGCCTGCTACCACATAGCTGTAAAAGTCAGAGGACAGCTTTGTGGAATTGGTTCTCTTCACATTCACACGAATGCCAGGAATGTGTGGGAAGTGCTTTTATCTGCCAAGCCATTCTCCAGCGAAACAAGGTGGCCAGTCTCTGAGGGCCCCTTAGGCAGTCAGGTGAAATGGGGATCTTGGAGCTGGTGGGTGGAGCTCAGCCTGAGGTCTAGCTCTGCAGCTGGACACTGGTACTGCCCCTGGGCCGCTTTCCATCACTCCTCCCCAATACGTTCTCAGGTGTAGCACTCCTGGCCAATGCCCCTGAGAGGGTTGTGGAACGGCGGCGGCGGCCAAGGGACAGCCCGGTCCTGAGCAACAGTGGCCCCAGAGTCTCCTCCAGGTCAGCCAAACAGAGGTCGGCACTCCTGTCCTCTGAGGAGCCACCAGCCTCCCACAGGGTGAGTGTTCAGATTGGAAATGCCCATAACCCCCCATAACCCTTGCTAGCCAGGGCTGACCCCTGCTGCCCACCCCACAGGACCGCCTGAGCCAGGTGCTTCGAGACCTGGAGGACGAGAGCACCCCCATTGTGAAGCTGGGGGATGCCAGCATTGCAGCACCCTTCACCTCCAAGCTGTCCTCCATCCAATGCAGTGAGTCCCAAGCACCCAGCCCTGCCCCGGCCTGGAGCCCTGCCCACCCAGCACCGTGCCCACTCACGCCCTGCTTTCCCACAGTCTGCCACGTGATCAAGCAGGGCCGTTGCACGTTGGTGACGACACTACAGATGTTCAAGATCCTGGCCCTCAATGCCCTCATCCTGGCATATAGCCAAAGTGTCCTCTACCTGGAGGGTGTCAAGTTCAGTGACTTCCAGGCCACCCTGCAGGGGCTGCTGCTGGCCGGCTGCTTCCTCTTCATCTCACGCTCCAAGGTGGGCCCTGAACCGCCTAGGGCTGGCCATAGGACATTTCAAGAGCTCTTGTGGAATTCTCATCCTCAAGTTACAGACAGAGACCTAGAGCCCCGAGGCAGGAGTGTCCCCGAGACTGCACAGGGCATGCAGACAGGGTCAAGCCTGGATAGCTGCCAGTGATATTGCTTAGGGTATACCGCTGTCTGTGAGCTTGGGGTTCAGGCAGGTCACAGTCCCCAGGGCAAAGGAAATGATGAATAAGAAAGAGCAAGCAGAGGACATAGTGCTGTGAGGGGAAAGTGTGTCACAGACTTCAGGGCCTGGCCTCAGGGATAGCCAGGGAGGCCTCCTGAGGAAAAAGGGTGCTGCCACAACCAGGAGTCTGCACTGATCACTCGTGTGGCGAAATAGAGGTCCCCGTAGCCTTCGGATGTGTGTCAACTTCCCATCAGGGTGAGGAAAGGCTGCACGGGACACCTTGAAACAAAAGGTCTGTCTTGGCTTAGGCTTCCAGAAGTTTCAGGCCATACATATTTAGAGCTCTGCACCTCACAGCGGCTAAAAGAGGAAGGCCTGGGATTGTCCCCAATGCTGTACTCCCTTCATGCTGGCCCCACCATTGAAGCTTCCCCCAGTCCAGGCATAGGTCAGAGCCCTAGGGATTAGTCACTTTCCAAATCCCCTACTGTCACATGTTCCCTGGGTCTTCTGAGCACATTTCAGATCCCACCTTAATAGGATGGGAAGCTAGCAGTCTGGACCAGGCCCTAGGCTCTGACTGTCATCTTGGGAGTAGGGAGAGGAAATCTGTTTCCTGATGGAGACCTCCATTGCTACCATGGAGTACAGACTGTTTTGGGCATAGGCAGTCCCAAGATCAGGATGAAACAAGATGCCTGCGGAGACAGGGGTATCATCTCTCTACCTGTTGAGTGAGTAAGCTGGCTCTGACGGTCGGTCCTGCCCCACAGCCTCTCAAGACTCTCTCCCGAGAGCGGCCCCTGCCCAACATCTTCAACCTGTACACCATCCTCACAGTGATGCTGCAGTTCTCTGTCCACTTTCTGAGCCTCGTCTACCTGTACCGTGAGGCCCAGGCACGCAGCCCTGAGAAGTAAGTGGGGTTCCGGGAGGAACAGCCAGGCAGGCCCTGGCTCTCTGTCCGGGCAGTGGGAAGCCACAGAGGGTGCCTGAGCAGGAGAGGGGTACTGACACCCACATATCCCTGTAGGCAGGAACAGTTTGTAGACCTATACAAGGAGTTTGAGCCGACCCTGGTCAACAGCACTGTGTACATCATGGCCATGGCCATGCAGATGGCTACCTTTGCCATCAACTACAAGGTGAGGCCCCACATACCTACCCATTCCCACCTGGCCTAACCCCTGCTCAGCCCTCCCCAGGCAGCTGTCTCTTTTCACAACAGGGCCCACCCTTCATGGAGAGTCTGCCTGAGAACAAGCCCCTGGTGTGGAGTCTGGTAGTGTCACTGCTGGCCATCATTGGCTTGCTCCTTGGTTCCTCACCGGACTTCAACAGCCAGTTTGGCCTCGTGGACATCCCTGTGGAGGTGAGTGGCCCTGAGCAATGGCCCCTGGCTCAGCCCAGTCTGGCCCAGCCACTGGCCCAGCTCACCTGCCTCCTCCTTGACAGTTCAAGCTGGTCATTGGCCAGGTCCTGGCCCTGGACTTCTGCCTGGCACTCCTGGCTGACCGTGTCCTACAGTTCTTTTTGGGGACTCCGAAGCTGAAAGTGCCTTCCTGAGATGATGGTGCTGGTATCCACCACCTACCCTGGCTGCTGCTGGGCAGGAGCACTGCCCCCCCATGGCTCCAGGAGGGAACACTGCTCCCATCTCCACAGTGAGGCAGCCCCGCCTTGCCCTTGGAAGACTGAGCTGGGACCCTTGTGGGCAACCACTGGCCAGGCTATGAAAGCAGTCCTGGCTAGCGCCTTTGGTAAATAAATTGGCGTCTGCAATTTTATGAAGCCTGCCTCCACTTGTCTGTGCCACACAGGGCCCCTGGGAATTGGAGGGGCCAGGTGGTCACCAAAGGCCTGGCATCACCACAAGCCCAGGGGGGAGAGTGAGAATGACACCCTCTGGGCATTCAGCCTGGAGCTGGAGGCCTCGGGTTTCCAGTGTCGTGCCCTTCGCCCGCTGTGCGGCTGTCCCCGCAGTCAGCCACCGCTGGGTAGTCCCCTTACTTTGAAAGTGGGGGACTCCTGAGCCTGGGACAGTTCTTGGAGGTCCCAGTGCAAGGTGTTTGTGTTCCTGCCTGCCCCTGAGAACATTGACTGCGCTGGAAGGGAACCGCCTCAAGAGCCTGGACCAACCAAATGTTTAATCCCAGCTCTCAGCTGGCAGAGGCAGGGGGATCTCCTGAGTTTGAGGCTAACCTGGTTTACACATGGAATTCAGGCCAGCCAGGCCAAATAGTGAGACACGTCTTTCTTTCCGCCCCCTCGAAAAAAGGGAACCTGACCCATGAAAGCCACAGGGTGCTTGGGCAGGTTCTGTGGCACTCTTCATAACAGCAGTTCTTCACAGGGGGCGCCCTGGATCTAAAAAGCCTGGGCCGGGAGTTCGGTCTAGTCACTGGGCGGGGCAGGGTTCTGGGGCGGGAAACCCAGGCTTGCTGGAAGGGAATACTGCCAGGCTTTGGGGTGATGCACAAATCTACCGAAGGGACTCCTGGTCCGCTGAGGCTCAGCTACGGGGAGCCTGGGATGAGCACTGGAAGCCGGTCAGAAGTCCGGTGGCGGCTTCCGGGAGGGGCGTGTCATCTTGGGGCGTGGCAGGGGTGGGGCGGGGCGATAGCACTGGGCCAGCGGAGGCAGGAAATCGGGGCTGGTCCCGGGCGGCGCGCAGCCCTGTCCCTATCGGCTCTGCTGCGCGTTCACCACCCCACCCCCTGCCCCCGGGCCGCCATGGACGCTACGGAGACAGGTAGGGGGGTGGGGACCGGGGGGCCTCCCTCCACCGCTCCTCAGCGCCTAACCCAGGGAGCCCCACTTACCCATGAGCTACCTGACAGCCGGGAAAGAAGTACTGGAACGGGAAGGGCGAGGGGAGGTCTGCGTACCTTGGAGACCCCCACCCCCCGAAACACACAGGAGACTCCAGCCCCCAGCCCTCCGATTGCCCTGCAGATCCGACACCCCGGATGCCTCGGGGAAGGGGCCCAGGAAGGGGAAGTGGCCGCTTCTGCTTCTGATTACACGGTGGATGGGGGCAGGGTGTCGCGGCCAGGATCCTTGCAGGGCGCCCCAGGGGCATCAGGCTAGGGGGGCGGCGGCAGAATTGTGACTAGGTCTGGGTTATGTTTTCAGCTGTCTGTGTGTGTCGACTGTCATTCAGTCCTGTCCCTCGTGGTTTCAGCCGTACTCCAGTGTGTTTATGCCGCAGGCTAAGTGTCTGTGCGTCCCACGTGCGTTTCCATCTGTCTACCCTGGGGTCCATGTGGCTCCATTGTCAAGCCAGTCCTCTATTTCGGCATTCGTGTGTCAGCTGCATATGTTTTCTTGTTTTGCTTATGTGCCCGTGCCTGTGTGGGTGTCTCTGTGACTGTGAGCAGCCGCTGCTCTGATTTTTCCTGGGTCCATCTGTCCAGTCCAAAGTGACCCCACGGAAGCCCACTTGTCTCGTCCCACACGAGTCTTAGGCTAAGACTCACTCAAGTCTCTTTCTTTCTCTCTCTCTCTCTCTCTCTCTCTCTCTCTCTCTCTCTCTCTCTCTCTCTCTCTCTCCCACCTCTGCTTGAGAGGGGTTGAGGTGCATGCAGATTGCTTTGCCACCACTGTGGATGGAGGGAGACAGTGGTTGGCTCATGTTTTCTTACACTTCCCTCCCCCAGAGCTAACCCCAGCTCCAGAGGGCAGGAGGAGGTACAGTGACATCTTCCAGAGCCTGGACAATCTCGAGATATCATTGGGGAACGTGTGAGTCTGAGCCTGTCACCAAATCTAGCTAAGCTCCATATCTGCTGCCCCACATCTGGACACACTGACTTCCACCTCCTGAGCCTAAGATAGGACCCTCCCAAACACCTGTGCCTTCTGGCATTCTAGATACACAGGTGTTTGGGTATATCTCAAAAGTGGTCCGGAGACACACACACACACACACACACACACACAACCTCATGATCCATTAAAATGGTTGAAATAGCTATAATCCCACTCTGTGAACCCCTAAATTACCTAAGGCCCTTCAAGCCCTTTCTCGTCCTGTTTTTAGGAAAAGACCTCACCTGGGGATGTGGCTGAGTAGTAGGTCAAGTGCATAACATCCTGCCTGTATCACAAAAGGGAAAAGGAGAGTTAGGAGTTCAATGGATAAAATGCTTGTCTGGCATACACAAAGCCTGGTTTCCATCGATAGTACTGCACAAACCAACCAGGGTGGTGGTGCATCCATGTAATTCCCACACTTTCGAAGTGGAGGTAGAGAATCGGGCCGACACAGTGATTTGAAGGCCTGCCTGGATACACGAGCTTCTGTCTCAAAACAAACAAGCCACAGCCTCACCTGCCTCCCTTAAATCCTCAGATCACACCTTCTAACTCACAGATAATATCAAAGACTATATCTCCCCTTTCTCCTTCAACTGTCCTAGCATCCCCAGAACTCTTCCCCAACAAAGGACAGTCTGGGCAGAAATGGCTTCCTCATATCCTCATCCTCCTACTCCCCACCCCACCCCCAGGGCTTTCGACCCCCCGGCTGGAGACCTTGTACTCAGAGAAGACCTGGAGCCTGAGAAGACTGCCACAGGCACAGTGGTGAATGAGGAGGTAGGGACATGATCAGGGTCCTCAAAGAGGCCAGCCCCTGGGTTGCTTGCTCCTGAATGCTGTTTCTAATCCTCTTACCCCAGAGCAGTGAAGCCAGCTGTTGGAGTGATCCCTCCCCAGAGGGTCCTGGACCCCTCACAGGTAGGGGAGGATTTCAGACAAGGATGGGGGTGGGTAGAGGAGGTCATTCCTTCACCAAGGCATCACAGCCCTGTTCTGTGCCAAGTTCAGGGGACAGGGCAGAGCCCACAGTGCCCCTGTCCTAAAGTATTCCCCAGTTTTGAGTAGAGAACCTGTAAATTATGGTACTGACTGATCCCAAAAGGGATTTAGGGACCCATGAACGTGTGGAACATAGACCATGGGTCTGGTCTCGGAGTGCAGGGAAGGCTTCCTTCCACGGGAGGCCTGGGCTCAGGGGGTTCCCTGTGTGTCCCAGAGGAAGAACTAGATTTGCGACTCGTTCGGACAAAGGGCGGTGTGGATGCTGCCCTGGAGTATGCCAAGACATGGAGCCGATATGCCAAGGAGCTGCTGGCCTGGACAGACAAGAGAGCCAGCTATGGTGAGGCTTCCTTCTGCTCAGCCCCTGATGGCAGGCAGGACCCAAACCTCAGCTGCCTGCAGGACTCAAGCCCCACCGTCTCCCCTTAGAGCTCGAGTTTGCTAAGAGTGTCATGAAGATCGCTGAGGCCGGCAAGGTGGCCATTCTCCAGCAGGTACCAGCCCTACCCAGAGCCCAGCCCCCTCCCCTCAGGTCCTCCATCCCTCTCTGTTCAGTTCCTGAGCCAGCCCTGCACTCCACCCCAGAGCCAAATGCCACTCCAGTACATCTACACCTTGTTTCTGGAGCATGACCTCAGCCTGGGATCCCTGGCCGTGGAAACGCTGGCCCAGCAGAAGAGAGATTACCACCAGGTAAGCATATCCTCACCACCACCACCACTGCAAGCGCCACTCAGGAGGAAGCTGGAGCTCAGAGATGCTCAGGATCTTGTCAAAGTTCCTACACTGAGATTCAAACCCAGATTCCTGTGAGACTGCAAAACACACACACACACACACACACACACACACACACACACACAATGGTACTTTCATTTGAGAGGAGGGATGATGTGAGGATACTAGGGAAGTCTCTACCAGCAGAACTATATCTCCAGCCCCAATTTTTAAAAATTTTCAACTTAGAAATGCCAGTTTCATAGGGCATAGTGGTGCACACCTTTAATCCTAGTACTTGAGAGGCAAAGGTAGGTAGATCTCTGAGTTCCAGACCAGCCTGATCTACATAGTGAGTTCTAGGACAGCCTGAGCTACATGTGAGACTGTTTTGAACAAACAAAACAAGAAAGAAATACTGATTTCAAGCTTGGCACAGTGGTGCACACCTTTAATTTCAACAGTGGGAAAACTGAAGCAGGCAAGAATCGCTGAGATGGTGGCCAGCCAAGGCCTCATAGTAAGACCCATCTTTTTAAAAAAAAAAAAAAAATGAGCCGGGCGGTGGTGGCGCACGCCTTTAATCCCAGCACTCGGGAGGCAGAGGCAGGTGGATCTTTGTGAGTTCGAGGCCAGCCTGGTCTACAGAGCGAGATCCAGGAAAGGCGCCAAGCTACACAGAGAAACCCTGTCTCAAAAAACCAAAAAAAAAAAAAAAAAATGGTTTCAGGGCCAGTGAGGGCCAGTGTGATGGCTGAGAAGGTAAAGGTGCTTGCTGCTGAAGACTGAGTTCCTGTCTGAAACCCACATAGAGGTAGAAAGAGAGCTCCAACTTCATGATGCTATGCTCTACCCTCCACACACATGCCATGGCCTGTGCGCCCACGTACACACATCAGATACACATAAGAACAATCAAACAATAAATCAATAGGTTTTTAAAAAGAAGGGCTGGGGATATAGCACAATAGTAGAATTAGCTAACACATGCAAGGCCATGGTTCAAATCCCCAGTAGCAAACAAAAACAAAAACAAAACAAAGAGGGAACCCGTGGAGGTGACACAGCAGGTGAGGATGCTTGCCACCAAGCCTGGCGTTCTAAGTCGGTCCCTGCAGCCCATTTGGAGGGAGGAGAAACACCAACTCCCACAAACTGCCTTCTGACCTCACACATGCTGGCATGAATGTGTCCCCACACATACGTAAGCACAAAATAAATAAGTAAAATTTTCAAAGGGCGCTGG